AGGAATTGAAAACTAAAGTTTACAAAAAAAAGTTAGGTTCTTCAAGGAGCCAATGGAGGGTTCCAAAGTGATTTTGTGATGGGTGTCAGGAGTGGATAATCGCCGGATATTATTTTTTGAGGAGCCACAAAAACGGTACTACGTACTTAAGGTAAATCATATTAAAATTATAATTTCGTATAAAACCAAAAGATTCGCAAGTCTGTTTTCATTTATGTTACCATTAAGCGAGGCTGCAAAAGTTAACTAGGGAGGAGAAGGGATCATAAATCTAATTAAGAAGCGGACCATAGATAAGTACAAAATAAAATTAAAAAGGAATATTTATGTATGTCTAAATATTTTCAATTTCGATAAATAGGATATCGATAAATTAATCGATAATAAATATGAGAAATAAATCGATGAAAATATCGGTTTTAAGGCGGATACATGTATCGAAAGAAATTGATAAACGATAAAAATTCATTTCGATATATGTATGGACATATATCGATAACCACCTCGATTATAACGGTGATAACGATTTCGATATTTTCACAATTATATTGATAATGAAACCGATGAGTATCTACATTTATAAATAATATGTCCCACACCAATTACGCTTGAATGCCACGCACAACACACTCTTCCTTAGCACAACCACTTCTTCATCACGTTCCCACACACTTACCTTCGCTATTCTCATCGCTCGACTTCGACTTGCTCACATCGTCTATGTTATTTGTCGCCGATGATGGAGACGAGGAGAGTGCCGACGATGTTATTGTGCGACTGTCACGATCCCAGTATCGAGACGCTGTGGGCGATGGTGGCGCTGGAGGAATACTCCTGAGGGCTGTGCTGCGAATCTGTGGAACGGCAAGAGACCATTATGAAATGTAAAATTGCAAGCGAATAATAATATTTTGGGTTTTTAGTAACCATTTGTGAAAAAAGGCATAACACATAAAATAATAATTAAAATGTGAGTAGAATATATAAACATTTTAATTGAGCGCCTGCGAAGGGTTTTTGGGATTAATAAGGTTAGGTTTGCTTCTCTCTTGAACCGAGCACAAAATATTAAGAGAAAAAAAAACAAAAAAATAGTTTCGACACAAAAAGAAAAACAAAAATTTTATAGAAAGAAAAATTTGTATAGCTATAACATATACTTATATAGCGCAAAAAGAGCGAGGTTAGCCAATTAGGGAGCGAAATTAGTTAAGTTATGATACAGCGCGCGATTGCTTGCAACGTGCGGACAGTATATAGGGTGTATAATAAAAAGTAGTGTAATAATAAATTAAAAAATAAACCAGATTCCAAATTGTTTAACATTTTCTTGCCGTGCTTCGACGCGAAGTTGGTGAATGATAATGAAGTGGAAATATAGAGTAAGTAAGTAAGTAAAAATAAAATCCAACGACGCAACGTGAAAAAAACAAAATTAAGCCCTAAAAGTAACTAACTAAAGAATTAAGTAACTGTCGAGCTAATGAGCCAAAGAATAGACTCGCTGTCGCAGCATGACTAAGGAATGATCGATCAATTGTGCTGATTTTGTTTTGATGCTATTCGAGTAGGTTGTTGGGGAAGTGATGAAAGTGTTGGCAATGAACGGTTTTGTTTGGTGACTGACTATTTATTATATTTGTAGGTATTTTTTTGCAGAGTTGATGAGTGCACTTACACTATCTACATCTCCGGCGGCGCCGTTGCACAAACCGTTCGTCTCCGCCTTCGCGCATTTCTTTACATCGCCATTCATCATTTTCGTTTCCACCTTCTTTGACCCCACTCCCGCAACATCTTTGATTTGCAAGAGTGCAGTATGGGCAGCGCTCTCCGATGTACGCAATAGCGACACTTCTGGATGGCGATTGGCGGAGACAGCGGCCGCTGTAGTTGAAGCAGCAACAATGCTCCCCGCGCTTTTGGTAGGCAAACTATTAGTGCTACTAGTAGCGCTGCTGCTGGACATAGTGCGTATAGATGATGAGGAGGACCCAGTTGAACAGGCCGCCAATGTCGTTCCATGCATGGTGGCAGTTACTTTACAAGCAGTTGCTGGTGAGGGTGATGCCGTGCGGTAGGGCGCGCGCGTCAACGAACCACCGCCGCTTTGCGCCAGTCGCAACAAACTGCTGTTACCGGTGGCATGGTCGAACTCGCTGCCGCTATGGCGATGATGTTGCAGGTTGCTTGTGCTACCGCTGCCGCCGTGTGAGCGCAGTGTCACCTGAGCAACCCCGCTGCGCTTTTGCTCGCTAAAACTATCAAATTTCTGAATCGAGGCTCTGATGCTATTCGAATCGATGCTGTGGCGCAGCTCATGACGGCGCGCTGCAGCTGCTTCGGCGGCAAACTTTGCCGCGCTACTGCCGCCGCCGCTTGCGCTGCCATTGGCATACTTGTAGTTGTTGATTTTCTCAAAGACGAGATTGCTAGTGGAGCAGATGATCGTCGATTTGGGGCGCATACGCGTCTTGAATGGCGCGCTATCGCTACCGCCGCTGCCACCGCCAGCACTTGCAGGCGTCGCGCTGTTGGTATGCTGACAACACACCTGCTCGCACCGCAACTGTGTTTTCCGCTCCAACTGCGCGCCACCGCCGTTTGACGATGTGGTGGGTGCAGCAGCAGCAGCAGCAGCTGCGGCTGTGTGTGCCTGCGCCAACGTTGTCGGCGCGTCATCGCTGTCTATATACTTGATATCGTCGTGATCGAGCGTGTGCTGCATGCCGTTGACACCGATAGCGCCAGCGCCACTGCTGCCGTCAGTTTTATTGCTAGAGATATTATTATTGCAACCACCGCTGTTGCCGCCGCTTATGACATTACCAACGACGCTAGCGCTATTATTATTATTGTTGTTGTTATTGCTAAATCGACTGCTATTGCTGCCGTAGCTGTTGAACAGCTTATTAGAGTATGCGTTGACGTTGTCGCGCGTTGCCGTGGCGTTAGCAGACGCCACAGCTGTCGATGGAATGCTGCGATGCACCAGCGGACGCACCAATTTGATCGGGCCGTTAGTCACCTTCGTCGTCACCACTGTTGATGTTGACGCGCCACCACTTACGCTTGTGCTTGTCGGCGTGCCAATAGTTTTTGTGGCGTTTGTTGTTGTGCCTGTGAGCGGACGTGAACTGTTGAACATATGTTGCTGTGGCTGTTTCGGACTCTTGGAAGCGACGACAATACGACCACCGTTCGTTTGTTGGCTCGGCAGCCGATTATTGAAGACAATGTCGACTTTATGGACGGAGGAATCAGTTGTGGCGCTCTTGGTTGAAGCGCCGTTCTGTGTCTCTGCTACCGCGGCCGCCGTCGTTGTCGTTGCAGGAGTTGTCGCTGCTGCAGCTGCTGAACTGATGTGTTGGTGGTGATGATGTTGACTAATGTTGACGCTTGCGTTGGCGCTGCCGCCACCGCTGCGTCGCATGCCATTAGCTGTTACCGCCGCCACTGTTGCCGCTGATGGATGTGGTGCGGTTGTGGGACGCCTTTTGCCACCGATAATACCGTTAATAGCGTAAGAGTGACTAGTTTTGTTATTGTTGTTGCCTTTGCCGCCGTCGCAGCTGTTTCGGCAACCGTTGCTGCTGCTCTTGAGATTAGTTGCGTTGCTGATGATGTTGTTGTTGTTATTTAACTCACCCACATGCCCATTGATCGATACACCAGCTGATTTTGATTGCCGCTTCTCTGCGCCCGGTATTGCGACCTGCGCATGCGCCAATTCACATTCCTCCTTTAAGAAGTTTTGATCTTGAAATTGTGGCACCAAAAAGAATGGCTTATTAGCGGTGCGCACGGGATTTGTGTCGTTGTTGATGTTATTGTTTGTTGTGTTACTGCTATTATTGGCAGCTTTGGAGTTGCGCGTGCTGCTGGCGGACGCCGCACGCCTGCCAACAGCAATAGCCGACCTCCGTGTCGCTTCTGATTTGCCGTCCACAACAGACGTATTTGTGGTTGTTGGTTTGGTGGCCGCAATTGTTGTCTTTAGGGTTTTGACGGCGGCTGTTTTTGGTTCTGTTGCTGTTGCTGCTGCTGTTATTTTATGGGCGTTTTTATTTGAGTTGGAATTTGAGTTGATGTGCTGACGTTTTTGTTGTTGCTGTACTAATACAGCTGCATGGTCACCACATTTTTGCTTGAGTGATGGGAATTTTTCAAAATTATTTCTTATTTTATTGATATCTATCATTATATTTTATGTTATTTTTTTCTATACAGTTACTTTGCTGCTATTCGTCGGCACACGTCTCTTTTGATTGAGGCTTTTTTACTTTCTATTTACAATTTTGTTACTTTTTCAGTTTGATTTGAGAATTTTTGCAAAAAATTTCGTATTCTTCGTTTGTTTTTCATTCATTTATTTGCCTCATTCGCTACGCCATAAAAAGCTATTGTGGAATGTGGAAGGTTTTTAATTAATTATACGCCTCGTTATTATGCTTTGCAGTTTTACGTTGATGTTAGTGTCTTTTAATTCCTTATACTATTTTTTTTTTGCGGTTTGTTTCGCTCTTTTTTATTTTTCGTTCTTTTTTGGCAATTTTCCTTGTTTTTAAAGTGTTTGTCACTTTAGAATTTGTTTATTTTTTTCACGCTTCCGATTTATTTCATTACTTTTGCGCTAAGCTTCACAGTGTTTTTGCGCGCACCTCTATTTATCTAATATATTTTTTTCTTCACTGAGAATTTGTGCCGAAATTTTTGCGTGTATCTCTTTGCTGATTCATACATTTTTTTCTATTTATGTATGTATATATTTTTCTTTTACTTTAACGTCCTTCTTCTATTATTTGTTTGTTAGTATTATTTTTTTTTTTGTTATATTTAGTTGTTGTTTTTGGTTTGTTTGTATTTTCAAAAGGGGGAGAGGAGTTCAAAAAGGCGTTCGTTCAATGCCAACAACAAGGTCTGCGAATATTCATCTAGAAAATACACAGAAGAGGAAACACAAACAAGTTATATGACGGATGCTTTTGGTTAGTAATGCATATGTATGGTATGTTATGTATATGTGGTATGTATGAATATGTACATATTATATATATATGTATGTATGTATGTATGGGCTCACTACATATATGTATGTAGGTACAAACTGGATGATATTTGGGATGATAGATACATAAATGTGGATGATCTTGCTGGATATTGAATGATGATAATGTTGACTTTGATGACGCCAAGTTCGACTATAGCAGGAAGGTGGGAGCGGCACATTCAATCTTACATAGGCATAGACATAGTAAGCGATGACACGCAGTCGTTGCTTTGCTTGAGATCATGGGCTTCAGATAATCAGATTAATTTACATACATTTACATATCGATCATACATAAATATATATGTATGTATGTACATTAAGGTGATCCAAAAATGCATGTGAAATACTAAAGCCGGTATTTTTATGTTCTCACCCCCTATAATTGTTCTATACCAAAAAAATAGACCCCTATTTTTTATTTTGAAAGCGCACAAAGTTTTCCATGTATTTTATGTGGGAATAACCACTTTTCATAGAAATGGTATAGAATTCTTGAAAATCAATATTTATCGATCGGAGAACTCTGTTTATCTTCAGGAGATTCCGAATAATAATACCCAATTATTTATTAAACCATTTTTCATAGTAACTATATTTTATATATACGTAGGTCCGCCAAAACCCCCAGAAAATGCCAGAAAATAAAAAAAAAACTTTGGTGTTAAAAAATGTTTAAATGAAAAATTGAGTATTGCTATTGGAAGTCTTCTGAAGAGAACCAGAGTTTTTCGATCGAAAAATAGTGATTTTCAATAATTCCATACCATTTCTACGAAAACTTGTTTTCCCCCATATAAAATACATGGAAAACTTTGAGCGCTTTGAGCGACCTCTATATATATTTTTATTTAAAAATAAAAAATTAAGAGGTATACTTTTTCGATATATAACAATGCTAGGGGTGGCGGCATTAAAATTCAGACTTTACTGTTTTTGAACCCCTCTAATATGTATGTATGTATGTAAAGTTAATTTTTGCTATGATATGTACGTATGTATGTACATATGTATGCATAATAAAATCCGATATGTGTATGTATTTATAAACCGATTTGGAATGTAGCGAAGGTAGATACAATGGTGGCCACATAATTGCGGACACTACTTCTTTATAGGTTTTAACAATTTATTTCAAACTTTTTAATCAGAACTTCTAGAGAAAATTCAGGTATTTATTTTATAGCGTTAATTTTTTAGAACTTTTTTCGACGGTGTTAGATACTCATTTCCATCCATACGAATTATGTTCGAGGATTTGTTATTTGGGGAAAAATGACGTCAACAAAAAAAAAAATCTCAAAAAGCATTCGAATTTAAACCCCCTAAAACTTGCACGAAATTATACTTAAATTAAATGGGCTATAAAACTGACTATTTTTTCTAGAAAATCTGGTTAAACAGCTTGAAAATTGAATTACAATTTTTTGAAATTTGGCGATTATAATTATAAATCTTGTGCTGAGTTTGAAACTTTCGAGTTAGTTGGTTTTCGTTGTTGTATAAACTAATTTTTTTGGAAAAAAAAAAATAGATCAAAACATGTAAAGAAGTAGTTTGCCTAATTACGTGACTACCGCTGTAATACATTAAAATGATCCGATAGGTAGCGCTGAAGTCGCAATATTTGTAAAAAATCATATTTGGAGTCCATATGCTAATTTTTCGAAAATACATATGTATGTTGGACTGCATAAACTGGTGTATTCTAAGGAAAAGTATAAGGACAACATACCATAAACTAACGTACTTGATTTTGTTTATTTGATGATATATAGAGTTGTTTTAGTAAAGCACATTTTGATTCAAAAGCGCAATGCAATCATATTTTGTTCATCATAAAATCGGAAAATATCAGGACATATCCAAGTTTATTCAGTAGTTGTTTTTATGCCGAGGTAGACGAGCGGTGAAAGGTACATATTTACTATATTGCATTCAACAGTTCGACTTTTATGGTCGAAAATTTATATGCTCCTTTGAGTTTTAAAGTTTTTTTTTTTGTAAACATGTATACACAAATAAAACCCGCGAAATAGTAGGTCTATTGTGCATTCCACTCACCACAATACATCTTTTAATCCCAATACATCTTAAAACCCTGTACCCCGATGAGCACGCGCACACACGTATATCCACAACCTGACTGTAAAGGGGGCACATGCAATACCTAAGGGGTTAATGTGTGCAAAAGCTGCAGTGCTAAATTCAAAATTGATCTCTTACAACTAAAGGCAAAGAATTGGCAATCGCTTGCCAATAGGATTCTATAATCATCTCCCACATTAGGAATTCATATTTGTTACATATCACTGTTAGTCACATGCATTAGCAGAGTGCGCTGGTAGCAAGACTCACAAGCGGGACAAAAATTAGTGCGACGCAGCGTAAAGTGGAAACCGTTAAACGTAAATAAACACAAACGTTTTACAAGTGACAGACCGCTGCAGTTGGCCATTTGCGTTTTACCTTCTTTGCCGTGATCGGCGTGTCCACCATTTTGAGCGTTGTGCTGGCGCACACCTCAGCACCGCCAGCAACCGCATTGTTTGTCTTAAGCTCGTACGTTGCAGTAGCGCCATTGTCGGTCGCTTCCAAATTGTTGGCGCTTTGATTGCGCTTCAAATCGCTGCCACTATTCGAGGTAGTCAATGTGCTAAGTTGGCCGCTACTATTGCTGGTGCTGAGCCTTTTCGACTGTAGTGGCAAAGTGATGGTGGTCGTTATGCTTCCACTGCTGCTATCTCTATAGAGGCCACTACCGCTGCCGGAGGTGGAGAGCTTTAGCTCCTTCAAGCAGCTGTCAATATCATTGATGCACGTATTAATCTTGCTGCTTCTGCCGCCACTCTCGCCATTAGTGAGCGCATCAGCATCCTCAGGGGGAGGCTTCACCGAGATGGTAGTTGTCTTGGGCGCACGATTTCTGTTCAAAGTAAATGTTGCTGTTGGCACATCACCACTGCTGCTGCTGTGGCTTAACACAGATGTTGCCGATGTGGAGGACGTGAGTGCGTTTGCCTGTTGCTTGGCTGCTGCCGCGGCACGCTCACGGTAGCTAGATCGGTGCGGTTTAGATGTAACAACAGATGTGTCATTATCTGTTTTCCGGCTGCTGCTGCTGTTTTTGTTGTTATTTGTGCCGGTGGTCTCATCGTCAGTGCTGTACAATCGACTGTAACGGCTGCGTGGTCGGTCTAATGTAATTTTCGTCGTCGTCGTCGTCGTCGTCGTAGTTTCGCTACGTTTGTCTTCGGTCCCTGTTGCCTGTGTTCCAGTGCCGGTATTTGAGGCTCCTGCACCAGCAATCTCAGACTCAGTAAGCGCTGAGCTGGAACGTGATAGTTCACAATTGGGTTTATAATTAGCAGGACTGTATTTTTCATAGATTTCCAGGCCAGATGTCGCTACTAAACGTGCTAAGGATGAGGATGAATATGAACCTGATAAGCGCTTGCCGCCCACATCCGATCCGGAGGGGGGCTTCCTGGAGCCACCGCCGCCGTTTGCATCGTTGCTGTCATGGCTGCTGTTTGTATCTCTGTCCTTACGCGTGCGCAATGTATCGGATGTCTTGGGTGATTTGGGTAACTGAGGCGCGCAATTTTTACATGTCACATTTTTTCATGTGTTTTTGTTTTTGATTTTGTGGTCAACATTTACAGATGCATCGAATTGTTTGTCCCCATTGCATGTAATGTGATGCAGGTATAAATGAATATGACAATGACCATGGCAATTTGACAAATAGACAGATAGATTTGATTGTTGTGGCGATGGCGAATTTGATAGCAGTGTAGTTGTTGGTATTTTATTTTTACACGGTCGTTAAAGTGCAATGATTGTTGTTGTGACCAAAGAACGAATAAATACAACATAAATACAAAAAAGAAAAACATGTGAGTCACGTACATATGTACAGTTGTTATTTTTGTTGCTTTGGTAACTTTTGAACTAATGTGGGTTATGGCAAAAGCTATGGAATAATTACTCGTACTTGAAGGCGTTTTCAGGTGATTGTTGTCGATAAGCAAATGACGGTGCGGCAACTGCCAGCTGCCCGCTTATTTACAATAAAAAATGTAATTTGTTTGCGAAAAAATTTTATATACATATCGTCGTTTAAAGTACAAAACCGTGTAACTGACATCTGCTGCCAAAAATTGGATTTGCTCACACAAGCTCGTGGCTCATTCCTTATCCATTCGTCTTGAAATATACTAGCCAAAAATGCGATTGCTTTATAAAAAAGAGAACCCGTTACGCGGTTTTGTACTTTAAACGACGATATGTATGAATACATATAGTGCAATGAGAAATGATTAACACTGCAGTGAAAAATCTTACTTAAAGACGAGTAACACTACTATGCTTTTCCAATGGGTGATCAAGCGTTGTTGTTCTCTTGAACGGGCAATCTAAATATTGGATTTCAAAAGTACATATTTGCCCGGTTTATCGACTGAGCAGGGTAAATATGTAATAGAATAGCAATAAAGTTAACGCACCCTTATCGATTCTAAGAATTTATGCCGATACAAGTGGTATACCGTATACGGCTATTATTGGCATAGAGCGGTAAGCGGTTAAGATTTCGGTTTTCCCTTAGCAACAAAAATCCCTAGTAAGGTTTTATATACATAAATATATTTGAGGAGGTAAAACAGTAAGCTGCGCTGCTAAACAATAAAAACTAAATTAATATACTATACATATTTTAATTAGAGTTAAAACCAAATTGTCAATGAATCACTTTATACATTTATTTAAAAAAAAAATATGCACGCTACTTCTTAAATCACTTCACTTTTTATGAGCCGCCAAACTATTCCGTAAAATGCTGCTTACTTAATGTGCAAACATAAAAACTAAACTAGTGAAAACTACCTTCAATCATCCAAAGTACTTTGCAAACTAATCAAAATTGTTCTATGAACAATGTAAGAAAGATAAGAAATTTTTAGCGAATACCGATATATGACGCAATATTATAGTTGGGCCACAATTTTGTTTCATTGAGCATGTCTGCATGTGAATAAGAAATATTTCTTGCCTAAAAAGTGTAGTTGGCTTTTTAAATGTCCTCTATTAATATGTGATATTTTGAAAGGTGTTTTGCCATTATTTGTCTTGATTATTATTGCATTATGGTAAAGCTGCTGTTTTCTTAATGTGAAAAAGATATTCGAGGACGCTACGCAGATCTTTATTGAACTCAATTGTATTAAAAAATATCTAGTTCTTAAGAGAACTGAAGAGCAAGAAACGATGGTTTATGCTTCAAAACACCTCACAAAAGCTGTCTGTTTGTATCCGATTTAAAAATGTGTTGACGGCATCGGCACAGAGAATTACCACGCCATAGGTTTTCTGTTATTAAATTTCGTCAAAAAGGAAAACGAAAAACTTTTGTATAATTAGCGGTGCACCATTCGCCATGTATTTAATTAATCATCCTCTTTCACATTCAAGTACAAATCCCTAAACTAGTACCCCTATGAATAAGCCCGCAATATTCAGACTAAGAAAAATATTATTAGCTCATATTCCCTCGCTGCATATTTAACTGCAGATTCATTCTTGTGATCAAACTAAGTAAAAACAAAACAATCCAGAAATTCGTGGCTAAAAGGCGTTTTTATCAAACGCTTAGACTAATTTAAATTCCACACGACAGTCCCAAAGGTATGTGCAGCAAATAAATTTGTATTCTTTCTTTTTTTGGAGGTGCACGCATTGTTGACAAGTGTTTATGTATGTATGTATTTATGTACTATGTGTGCATATGTTACATGCTTACAATGCAGTTAAGCAGATAGGACGCACAACTAGACCATTATTTGTTTTGTTTACTAAATATTAGACCCATAAGAAATTATACAAATGTCCACAGGGTCATACATACATACATACTATGTTTATGTTCAGCAAAAGCATTTGGATAATATTTTAAGCATTTAAGAAGTATTTTTTGTTTGTTGTTTTACTACTCACTCCATATCGACTGGATGTAATTGTATCATTGCTACCGCTTGGTAAATAAGATGAACTACTGCGATAGGTTCCCAATCCAGAGGAGCCGCCGCTCAGGTACAAAGACGACAGGGAGTTACGTTGCGACGCTGTTCGTGGTGAATAAGATGATGTATTTGAGCCCAAATACGAGCTATAATAGCTGGGTGTGTATTTCGATGTTCCAGACGATGATGACGACGACGACGTCGACCACAATGCGCTACTAGGCGTGGTGTTCTTCGACAAGCTACCTGCACGATTCAAATACGACGAAGCACTGTTATATGCGCCGGCTGTACTTGAGCCTGTACTGCCAGTTGTGGGCGACGATGTGCCGTATAGACTGCCACTGTTCGATGTCGATGATCTTCGTGGCGAAATCACAGGCATATTAGTAGATGTGTTAAGAAGGATGCGTTCGTGCACACTGCGTTATTTTGCTTCCTATTATTTTTAACTTTGCTATATTCTATTCTTGTGGTATGAAATCTATTTGGGGAATTGTTTTTTTTCAGCTTGCTATTTTTGTTCTTTGCTAATTTATAAATCCAACTTGCTTATGATGCTGACTGGAAAATAGAAATAGGGTCAAATATTTTTTGTTCCACATTTAATTACGAGAGATAAGCTACATACCTAAGTGGCCGATGCACTTGTTGTCCAGTTTGATCCAGTCAATGCTCTAACCGCATCCATTACCTTACATAATTAGTAGATAATAGCTTAACACAAACCGCCTCAGTTACGATGTCAGCGATGAATTACCTTGGCGTTGGTGTTATTATTTTAGTTACGTATTTCACCGGTCAGCTGTTTTAAATGAAAATAAATATTACTGTGATTAGAAATTACATACTTTTTCTTATGCAGAATGCGGAAGTCTGTAACAGTAGGTGGTGGATTCAACCAATGTCACCCTAACCCAGTTGTCTAGTTTTATGATTTTAGTCGTAGCACTTTGACTTGGCGGCGAGTGCCAAGCAGTAATCGATAAGAGGTAGAAATCAGGGTTGCTCTCGCCTATAGTAATAGTAGCGAAAAAAAATTACACTATCCCAGACGCAAGAGCAGTGTCGCTGCTTCTGCCACTGCCTCTGCCACTTCCCGAATTGGCGCTGTCATCCAAACGTTTATTGTATACTTCACCTTTCACGTGCTCAGCTAGAATGAGTCACGTATCACGTATATTAAAGCAAATAAGCCTTTATTTACGCACACTATGCGCTTCACATTTATTTTCAATTTTAAAGCACATATTCCCGATTTTTCATTCCCACAACAATTTTCCATTCACCAAAGTCATGGCCGAGACGCTCGCATACACGAATTCTGTGAGAACTGCAGAACGCCAATGACAACGCCGACGCCGGCAGCACAGTTGAATGCAAATAAAACAACATCGTCATCTTCGTCGCCGCCTTGTCGTTATGGTTCTTCGGGGCCAGCGCCACCCACATTTTACGAGGGCCGCCTCACCTCTGCATCCTTCCTTCGTTCATAAGCTGGCCAGCTGATCACATTTTTGGCGTTGTGTTTGTTTTTTTTTTGCTTGGTATGTGTATATGTAAATTCGCAGATATTTTCACACAAGTCAGCGTTAACTCTCATTCATTTGCAACCCCCAGCAAAATAATTTCACACTTGTGGGTTGACTTCCCCGTCCCACTAACACTTCCATTAAATTACAACTCCAATTGTACCAGCCGCCTTGGCGTCTACATACTTTTTATCCCTTGAATATTTTTTCTTCCAATTACCGTGAAAATGCGCCTCTATTAAACGACAATGAATGTACAAAAACGCGCACAAGAAAAAATGTCTCACAAAACAGAAACACAACAGCGTTGAAAGTCAAATCATCATTAAAAAATTCTATTTTTAAAAGCGCTGAATACGCCAACCAACAAATCGACCAGTCAGCCAGCACAACGCGACTCGCACATAAAACAAACTATACAAAAATTACGCAAAGTAAAATATTTTCCTCAAAATGGAAAGTGGAAAAATTCAACGACTGCGCCAGTGGCAGTGGTTGCGGCACCAACGTTGTTAACTGAACTTTGTTAGCGACAATAAGAGCGGCTGTCATGGTATCGATGGCTTCCTCCAGCCATCCAATTGCGCGGATTGATAGGCTAGAGCCTTTGGAAATAGACATTTTAGGTGGTGTCGACAGTGGGTTTTGGGCTGAAACGAGGTCGCACTACCTCCTACTAGCATTTTTTCGACTTGACTTTTTTCATCGGCTAATGGCGATACATCGATTGATCACTTCACAAAAGCGGGGAGTTTGGAAAACACTTCAGTATTAATGCCCATTATCCTGCACTCACTTTTTTCTATTTGCTTTAATTCTGGGAAGAAATATTCGAATTTATATTTATTTTTAGCAGCGAAAAAATTTTATAAGCGCAGTGTGTTTTTTCGCCAGCCTCGTCCGTTCGTCGTTTTCGTTACAGTGTTGCCGATTAAATTTACTTGAAAACTACCTCGTTTGGATTTCAACCAAACAAAATGGCATTACACTTCTACCAATGTACCAGTATATAAAGGCTTCGTTATGCATACTTGGCATGGCTTGAGAGCTGTCACATAAGAAATCTGTTAAATGAGCCTCGCGTGTAATCGGTTATCGAACGCACAGCACTACATACGTAGAAGTCTGTTGGTTTTTGATTTCTACGTAAAAATGGTATAGCAGTGCATGCAATGCCAAGTATGCATAACAGAGCCTTTAGTCTTTACAAGCATTTGCTATTTAAATCAAAAGTTTTCTATGTGTAAAATAATCTACAATAAAAAACATACAAAGCAAAAATAAATTGAAATATTCTTTGAAACTTTTTCAGTGAATAAGATTTTTCTAGATTTGGCATCACAGTAGCTGAATGAATAGGCTTCAGCCAAGGCAAAGATTGCTGAATTCATTACTCTGACAATGTTGCCAGATACCGGTAAATTTAGTACTTAATTTCTTTGGCATGGCTGCCAGCTCTCCATAGTTAAGAGGTTCCACATTCAGGTTAAAAAAGTGCCAAATAGAAAAATAAAAGAGGCAAATAAGGCGCCGTTGTTTTTAATTGAAAGACGATTATCATAATTATCGTGAGTTTCACCCGAATACAAATTCGGATGCGAAAAGTGAAAAATTTAACTCATGATAGGGTTGTATAGCTTTATTTTCCATTCAACAATGAAATAAAAACCAAATTTCCAATACAAATGTGCGATACCAAATTAAAAGAAACCAGTTGTGTAAGCATTAAATGCTAGAAAATTTTAGTTGATGAAATAATATACGGAGAGAGTATATTGAAATTTAACAATTTTTCAAACGCGCCATTGAAAAATTTGAAGCCATTGGAAGTAAAATACACCCAAAAATGACACAGTTTGAGCCAAGTTAGCTGGCCGTTATCTCTATTATTAACTAATTTTCTGTCTTTATCTATTTTATTTTAACTTAATTCCGTATTGGTGTCCGACCGAACTGGAATTTTGGCCGAAGCCGAATATTAGCTACTATTCAATATTAGGCCGAAGCCGAACATTAAAATAGAGTTTAACATTACAAAAAATAATAAGTCTGTAATTTTTTATTTCGAGACAAATTATTTTTAAACGAAAGGAACACGTTACAAACTTATGACACCAGAAACCCCAAGGCATCATCTATTTGAATGCGTTTCGGTTGCGAGAAGAAGGCTAACACACCTGGTAAGGATGCGGACAGAGGCTGCATACGCATACACACTCTCTACATCCCTCGAAACTACTCGGATTCATCAGACCATTGGGACTGGACGATGTGTTATGATGAGTTCCGAGGGCACAATAGACCTAAGTTCGTAGTGTATAGCCTCGGACACGGACCCGAAATGTGGAAAAACACTGTCATTCTTATAAACTGATATCCCATAGAAAATAAAGGCTTCTATTTGTTCATCTTTTCATATTTAAGCTCGAGTTCATAAAAAAGTTCTAATGCCACCGGAAGCAATCATTTTTACGGAAGTGCCAGCTGTAGCGGCTGCAACAACAACAACAACAACTGAAGTGCCAGTGCTGCCTGTGCCATGAACCAAAAAGACAAGATCACGCGGGCAGGAGACTAGCCCGTTAGAATCGCATTAAGGAAAAAAGTTGAACGATTTTGACATTAGCCGTTTATTTACATTTCTTCGTTGTTTACAATTTGGTGGTGGCTTTTTACTGCAATTTTCTTCATTTTCGCTTGTGACAACGTGTGTACACATAAGATAAAGAATAATTTAACACAACGGCATGATTTTTAGAAGAATTTGCATAATAAAAACGATTTTTCATGCGTTCAACAATTTCGCGGTTTTCTCTGTTCTCTTCGTTGTTTACTTCTTACAGCAAAGATGGCGTCGAGATTTCGGCAGCTAGAAAGTAATTTTTTTCGTTCTTTCCGTCCCGCGTGATCTTGTGTCTTTCGTTCATGTGCCTGTGCTCTGATTTCTGAATTCCGATAGGTCCAATTGCAATCTTTCTATCTTCTATTTTTGTTTTCTTTCCCATCTTCGGCAAACGTGGTTGCCCAACTTAAAGGAATTATATATGCCAACAAATAAATGTAACCATTTTCTTAAACTATTTGTTAAATAGTATGAAATTTAGTTAAAAATTGTCTATAATATCATAAAAAACAGCGGCCAAACCATTAAATCACCGACAAATGCATGGATCAACCACTATTTAAAGAAACATAACCAACTCATAATCTTAAATCGTGCTGGCAAGGTTGTAACGTTTATTTTCTTTCCTTTATATTTTCAGCTCTCGTTCACTTTTCTGCCATTGTACGCGTTTCCTGTAGTAAATGCAATTAAATAACTTTGCTAGTCCAAATATATGGAATCAGANGTTTTTGTTTTTGTACTCCTGCTATCACCTTATATAAATTCGCCTTGGTCCAATTGCAATCTTTCTATCTTCTATTTTTGTTTTCTTTCCCATCTTCGGCATACGTGGTTGCCCAACTTAAAGGAATTATATATGCCAACAAATAAATGTAACAATTTTCTTAAAATATTTGTTGAACTGTATGAAATATAGTTAAAAATTGTCTATAATATCATAAAACACAGCTACTAAACCATTAAATCACCGACAAATGCATGGATCAATCACTATTTAAAGAAACATAACCAACTCATAATCTTAAATCGTGCTGGCAAGGTTGTAACGTTTATTTTCTTTCCTTTATATTTTCAGCTTTCGTTCACTTTTCTGCTATTGTACGCGTTTCCTGTAGTAAATGCAATTAAATAACTTTGCTAGTCCAAATATATGGAATCAGGAAAAGCAGCTTCAATAGGTTTAGTTGCCTCAAAAGCAACGCACGTCAAAAATAAATACGCGCAATAAGGAAGTGGAACGCTTAGTTTTGTTAACTCCAACGCTTTGTAAAGTGCATTTAATTGGTCGCCGCTGCGCTGCTCGCTGCCATTTCTCTGCTGCAGTTCAAAGTGTTGGTGCTCTTTTTTTGTTTACCCCATTGACGTGCAATCTAGAGAAATTAACAACAGAAAATAGCAGTTTTCCAACAAAAAACAAATTTAATAAGGGCACTGGCAGCTTATAAAAATTAATAACGCATTTCCTNGCTCGCTGCCATTTCTCTGCTGCAGTTCAAAGTGTTGGTGCTCTTTTTTTTGTTTACCCCATTGACGTGCAATCTAGAGAATTTAACAACAGAAAAGAGCAATTTACCACCAAAAAACAAATTTAATAAGGGCTTATCAAAATTAATAACGCACTTCCCGACAATAAATTGCTTTGATAAACATATTTGCATACACGCAAATAAACTTATTACTGGAATACATTGTGGCACGAAAATGTCTACTAACAAAGATAGTCCCAGTCGTGACTCCATGACGTCCTCTTCAGCACCCATATCTCTAATGGCCGATGGAGATTCCATTACGCGTGACTACAGCTTGGGCAGCCTTACATCTGCAGTAAGTCAAGATGAATATTTCCGATGCCGTGATCATGCGGAAAGCGTATTAAAACGTTTGCAGTTGTACTTGGATAGCCAGCAGCTTTGCGATGTAGTCCTAATAGCTGGAATTGACGGCAAGAGGTAAGTGAAATATATGTATGTCAATGTTTAAATACAAATTATTCACATCGCAAATGAAATGCACTTCCGGTTACAAAAACAGAAACATTTCAATTCTAAGAGACTTTACATTAATGAAGACAGCTAAGGTCAGGTCGCGTGTCGTAGAAAACAAAGAATTGGGGGAAAGGTATTTACATACGTACATACATATGTACATCCATTTATAAACACGTACATACAAAGCTAATGAATCTGGAGACTTTGAGTACTGCGTCACAAGCGATATGCCAGACTACTTGTACGTTCCACCACACGCCATTTATCTATCCTCTTCAAGTACAAATTTGTATGTATAATATTTGCACTAATCGTAGTGCGCCTCGTTCTTTGTCTGCAAAAAGCTGCGCTATAGGAAAACGGGAAAACTCAACGCAAACAAAGAAGTGCTAGTACGACAATTGGATAGCCTACGTCAACTCTTGTCTCCCCTTTTGTTTATTCTGCTGCCTGTTCCATTGACTTGACAGCGAGCGGCTAGTGTATGTGATGTATGGAGAGCGATTGTTGTAAATTATAAATAAATTGCATAAAAAACTGCTACTCTCCAGATGCTAAATGTGTTGATATGTATGCAGGGGTCAGTGGCGCGTAGAACGGGAGAACGTGTCGTTTTTTTATTTTGATTTAGCTGATATACATACATTTGCCGACCACGATTGTAAATAGTACAAATATCTATGAAAATACTTGCTTAAAAAGTAAATAAAAACAACACGGGTTTCGAGCGCTGATAACCAGTATGCCAAACAGCACTGTGAAATTTAAAAAACATACATATATATTTTACGAGCAAATAGCATAGGAGAAACTAAAATGAAAAAGGCTTGCATACGTGAGTCTTTTAATGTTCCGATAAATTAATTAAATTAAGTAATTATTTGACAGTCTCAAATTAGAAGTAACGTTTTATTTTATTAAGGGTATTTGGAAATATGTGCATGCACTCAAATTTATACTTACCATGTATGTACATATCCCAGCCAACCAGCAGGGACCGCAAGATGCACAATTTGGATTCCCTGTGCGGTGCGCTGATGCTGCTACATAGGAAGGCTCCGAAAAGAGTCTCCAAGGAGCACATCCGCCGAAGAAAAGTGCCTTCTCAGTATACATATGTACTAAAAAAAAGTGTGCCTTTAGGACTTTTTGATGAGTTATTTCAGAGAGATCGCGCAGATAATCCGCGAAGACTGCGTGCGGACTGTTGTTGTTGTTGTTGTTGTTGTAGCAGCATACAAATTCCCCAAAGACTTTTTGGGGAGTGTTGCTGGAGTGACAGTCCTTGGCCAGATATAAATCTGGGTCGTTCCGGTTACGTAGACCCGACTGTCGTGGGAACGGTTGTTGTTGTAGCAGCATACAAATTCCCCAAAGACTTTTTGCGGACTGCGTGCGGACTCCTCTACTTGGCTATAATTTTGTGAAAAGGACTCCGAATCATCCGAAGATAACCTAGATGGAGTGTTTTGGGACAGCTCCGTTAATAGACCGCAAGGGAGGATTTACGGATTTTCAAAATGCTCGTGATTTATTTCATAATTTTTAAGTATTCAAACTTTTGCATCATTTCTTTTTATTGAAAAAACTTTTATAAAGTAAATGATTTAACATATTGTCCCGTATGAATAAACACTAAGCAATTTCATACGTTTTAAAATAAATTCCTTAGTTTTTATTCATACAGCCCATTATTCAGTAAAAAAGGAAAAATTATGAAATAAATAAAAAAAAACATTTTTTTTATTGAATTCTTTGCCGGAACCATAGTTAAAAAATATATATATGTATATATTATTTCACTATGGCCGGAACTACATAATTTTCCATATAAAAGTTTTAAAGTTAGCCAAAAGTAATTTTTTATGCGGTATTGCTTATATCCAACAGCTTTTCCATTTCCAGGAACATTCGGAAGTGACGAAGCGAAGCGATTGAATTTGAATTGAAATGAATGAATTTTCATCTTACGGACTAGATACAAAGAAAAGAATAACAAAACAAAAAAAAAACATTTTGACTCCCTTTCCCCTCCATATCGGGAAACACTCATTGGGGGTGTAACTGTGGGAATCATTTTTCACTCCATATTCGTGGCGCTTCGAAAATGCTCCTTCCAAGTGTGGCTGCGGGAGTCATTTTTCGCACCATATTTGTGGCGCTCCGCATTTGGCTAACTGGGATGTACCCTATATAAATAAATATATATCGTCGTTAAAATGTACAAAACCGCGTATCTAGATAATACAAGAGAGGTTGCCCAAATTTTACAGGAGAGAATGGATCATGTCTTATTTCAAAACGGTTCTCTAATTTATCCCTAATTATCTGGTACCTTTTATGTATTATCTAAATAACGTTATTTTGGTATGAATGGGTAGGGCTTGAGCTTCCGGTGAGCAAAAATCTCAACCACGATGNTTTTTAATAACAATAGGGGGTTATATTCGATGTAAATAAGCTTGTTTAAATTAAATAATTAAATCAAATTCGTTTTTGTTTTAAAATACCACCATTCACTATTATCCACACGTTTTTATAGAATTTAGCTCCCATTTTAGGAAGTGTGATTGAATTCTTCCCCTTTTTCTTCTGCTTCCAAAAACCATCCCTGTGGGTGGGAGTGCCAAATTTTAGAAAAAAGCTACTTACAAAACCTTTAATAATTGAATCATGAAGAATAACGAAAAATTCATATAAAACGACAGACGAGAAATGGAAAAGAAATTTTCTTCTACCTAAATTTCTTAAATCAGTTTGCAGCTCTCAAGAAAAAAAATGCTCGTATATTTATTCCCTCATGAAAATTTACAGCAAAAGCAAAGCGCTTTTTCAAGCAACAGAAATGATAATAAATATTTCTTATAATTTCCTTGAGAGCTGGATTCTTAGTTTTAAGATACAGATTGTATTTGAGGTTATTAGCTTTAGGGGGGGTTTGAACCCCAAAACCCACCCTTTGTGTGCGCTAATGATCTACATACATACTTATTTACACTTATAAAAATAGCATACGCATTTTTTTTTACTTTTCTTTACTAATTCCATACACATTCCATACTTCAACTGTGTATCCTCTAGAGTGTCTGCCCATCGTGTAGTATTATCAGCATCGAGCGCCTACTTTGCAGCCATGTTCACCGGTTCATTGCGTGAAACCAAAGAGCAGGAAGTCACGCTTGGCGAAGTACATGGCGATGCATTGCAAATACTAATACAATACTGTTATACGGGATACATTGAATTGCGCGAAGATACTGTAGAAACGCTTTTAGCCACTGCCTGCTTGCTACAGTTGAACGCTGTAGTTACTGCCTGCTGCAATTTTCTCGCCCGCCAACTACATCCATCAAACTGCCTAGGTTTTGCCTTTTTTGCCGAAAGGCAGAGCTGCACAACCCTACTGCGTCTAGCCAAATCCTACACATGCCAGCATTTCATGCAGGTATGTATGTTGACTTATTGATGTTACTGGCTTTTACTCGATGCGGTTTTTGTTTTGGAAAACTTATAGGTATGTAAAAATCAAGAATTTCTTCAACTCGACTCCGAGCAGCTCGGCAAATTAATATCCAGTGATGATCTCAATGTTCCCACCGAGGAGGATGTAGTGCACAGTCTAAAGATGTGGGTGCAACATGATCCTGTCAATCGGGAGAAACACATTCCTGAGTTGTTGGCATTGGTGCGATTACCGCTGCTGAAACCCTCGTTCATCATGGATCACGTTGAAACGCTTTGCAGCTCGAATGAATGCCAACAACTTGTAATGGAAGCGCTAAAGTGGCACTTATTGCCTGAACGACGAAATTTGTTAGCTTTGATTGCATCGGAACGAACAAAGCCGCGTAAATCGACGGTTGGTCGTTTACTCGCTGTGGGCGGAATGGATGCACATAAGGTACATTTTTGAATTTCTGAAAAAAGGTGTTATTATTCATTTCTCACTTCTCTGAAGGGCGCTATAAGTATTGAAAGCTACTGCCCGTACGCCGACAAGTGGTCTGTGTGGAAGAATATGCCCGCACGCCGTTTACAATTCGGTGTAGCTGTGATGGATGATAAGTTAGTGATAGTGGGCGGCCGCGATGGTTTAAAAACGCTCAATACAGTAGAGAGTTTAGACTTAAACACAATGGCGTGGACAGCGCTGAATCCTATGGGTACACATCGCCACGGCTTAGGTGTAGCCGTGCTGGAAGGCCCACTTTATGCAGTTGGTGGGCATGATGGCTGGAGTTATTTGTCAACTGTAGAGCGGTAAGCGTAGATATTACAGAATATACGAGAATATACACAAAAACAAACGTATATTTTATTTTTGAAAACTTTAAGTTGGGATCCAACCACACGCACTTGGAGCTACGTAGCGTCTATGTCTTCCATGCGGTCTACTGCTGGAGTTGCAGTGCTTGGTGGACGTTTGTATGTCGTTGGCGGGCGAGATGGTTCCGTATGTCATCGTTCAATCGAATGCTACGATCCACACACAAACAAATGGACTATGCGCGCACCTATGAATAAACGGCGGGGAGGTGTGGGGGTAAGTAAAATTGAATATTTATATGCATATGTATAAGGCGTGGTGTGCTTTGCATAAAAATATTTTCCTATTCCAGGTGACCGTTTCAAATGGATTTTTATATGCGCTGGGTGGGCACGATTGCCCAGCCAGTAATCCTTCTGTCTGTCGCACAGATACAGTTGAGCGTTACGACCCAGCTACGGACTCGTGGACTTTGGTAAGCAACTACTCAAAGTACGCTATGCCGATTATTAATATTGGCTTTCCTGCAGATCTGTTCGCTAAATGCTGGACGCGATGCCATTGGCTGCGCATTGCTGGGCGATCGCCTAATGGCTATTGGCGGTTACGATGGCAATCACTACTTGAAGACTGTTGAAGTATACAACGCTGAGACAAACGAGTGGACACAAGCTGCACCGCTGACATACAGTCGTGCTGGCGCTTGCGTTGTAGCAATACCGAATATAATACCACCTACGCCACCACTACCCAATGCAACAGTTTAGTCTTGTATTCATTTTTTTCTTTATCCATACATATATTTTTGTTAATGCGGACTTATATAATCGCTTAAATACTGGCTTTTAAAAGTTAGCAAAGCCATTTCCTCGTATACGCATGTCTTTTTACTTGAAATTGTTTTTCTAGAAATCGAAACTTAAAAAGCTGCGCTAACTGCATCATGAAAAAGCTTGCATTTTACGTATTCTGCTCGTATGCTCAAACATTCGTACGCATTTATGCATTCCATTTAAACAAGTTACATATTCTAATTGAGTTAAGTTCAGTTTTATCAACTTTCACTGATAGTTTCTTTCTTCTCTTTATCTTTTCTTTATGTTTTCACATTGTTACGTTTTCCGATACCTTTTTTGGTCTTTGGAATTTGTAGAAGAAATGGAAACCGGTCAGATTGAATCCGATGTGCTACAGACGCACCGTTGAATTTGTCGATTATTACAACCTTTAAGCAACTAAATACAACAAATTTTAAATTTTTTATCATACATACATACATATTTTTTTACCATACGAGTATTTAGATTTAAGGATCAACAACAAACAATTTTTAATATTATAATGGATTTTTACTTCGCATACGCGTATACATACACAGCCATGCCCATATATAGATGCATATGTGTATTTATGTATAAATAGGAAGTATGTGTGCTCGAAACCTAATTTTTGAATTTACGAACATGAGTATTTATTTCTTTAATAAAAAAGCACATTTTGCATGTACAAAATTCACGAATACTTATGTATGTATTTGAAATGAAGTCAATGCGCAATACAAGTGTCTAGCCTTGCTCTACTTCGTTTTGGCTGGTGCACTACGTTGAAGGCACCTTGAGCCCAACCAAAGGAGCCGTCTTGTTTCAAGGGCATATTGTGGACCTTTATTTGTGCATTGTTAGCTTTGCTTTCTTGCACACAAACGCAATCGATCGATTCGACCACAACAATAACTTACTTAAAAACTTTTCTAACTATTATTCGACATAAAAGGATATTTCAAAAAGGTATGCACTGCGACCTTACTCTTCACAACACTTGTCTAATATTTAATTCTCTAGACAAGATAGAATAGCCTTTGGTCAATGGAATATTTACGCTCGTCTTACGGCTACATTGAGCGCTCTTCTCCCAACTTCTTCAAATGACTGCATGATAAAGGAATACAAGCAATGGTGTATCTTCTCCATGGTCGCAAAAGCGACAGAGATCAAGGAATTAATTAGAAGCCATTATCTCTTCAGGTTATAATCCCTAATAAGGTTTTGAATTGTATCTCCCTGCTGTGCTTTTCCCTGATTGTGTAGCTGAAAAAGTAGCATGCTATTAGTCCTTGGTCTTTATCGACGTTCTGGCCGCAAACCCTTTTCTAAACCTAAAAACAGTAACATATCTCTTTCGTTATAGAGTACATTTATTAGGGGGTTGGAATATTTATAAATAAAATAAAAGCAAATGCATTTTTAATATCAAAAACCTTTAATTGGGTGATGTGTTGCGTTTCGGTGTCGATGGCGGTAGATCCATGGTTTTGCACACCCAACCAGCAATGTCCACCTCTTCAACCTCAGCTTTGCGTATCCAAGCGTGATTCTGCGAATTAATAACATGAGCTACAGTCTTAATTTTTCAGAGCAAGCTTAGTTTGTATATACCAGTAATGTTTTTAAATCAGCACGTTCATCTGGATTCTTTTTCAGACATATGTCTACAAAGTCTTTAAAATCGTCGGTAAATATTTTGTGCTCCAACCTGGGTGGTGGTTCATTGACAATGTAGTCTAGTAACTCAAATATGGCCATGACTTTGGGTTCCACCACTGTCTGTTGACCGTCTTCGGGATTATCGTTAAATATCGCTTCAAGGGTCTTTGAATCGGGCGGTGGTATGGGATACATGCCGATCGCCATCTCAACCAACGACAAGCCTAGCGACCAAATGTCTGACTGCACTGAGTAATGTGTACCTTGCAGACGTTCCGGCTGTAAAGAGTGCAAATGTGTGGCTGTGTAAGTTATCTGAGCTACTCAACTTAATTACCACGCAAAATGAAGTAGATTTCTTACCGACATGTAGCTGCGCGTGCCCACAAATGAATTGGCCATGGAATCGATTAGCTGCCCTGACACGCCAAAATCACAGATCTTTATCTCTCCGCTGCTATTCACCAGTATATTACTCGGCTTCACATCCCGATGCATGATGGCGTGCTTGTCACGCAAGTAGCTCAGCCCCTTTAGCACAGCCAATGTTATCTTGCCAAGTATGGATTCCGGTATTCGCCCAGCACGCTTCAGTATAAGATCCAAAGAGCCGCCATCCATATATTCCATGCAGATGCTAATTTCGCCGTCACTGTAGAAAGCACCATAGAAGCCCACAATATGCGGAAAGTTGCATTCGTGCAATACCTTCAATTCGCGTATAATTTGTTTTTTAATCGCTGGCTTCACCTCAAGATGTATAAGCTTCCGTGCCATTATCAATTCTGTTGGTATGTGACGCACTTTCATGACCACACCTCCATTACCAGAACCCAGTTCGCCCAATTTTTCGAGGTCATCATCGGAAAGTTCGCCAATTTTCTCTTTTTGACTTAGAAAGACTTTAATACGATTTCGCGCTGAATCATCCATTTCCAATTCTTCTAGTGTCTCCGTCAACGCCTCGATGCTCGTCTTCGGCTTCCCCAGTAAACTATGTTTTCTTTAATTCAACTTTTTAATGAATTTTTGTGCAACAAACCGAAAAGCAACAAAATTAAGACAAATAGGTGGAAAGGCAAAAGATAGGTAATGCAATGCAGAAAAGCGCAAGGAGCTGTCCTCACGGAAGCAACCATATCGACATTTGAGTATTTACTATTGATATACAAAAGGCAGGTTATTTAAAATCAAAGCAAATAAAACCAACAACATCTAAAAACTTTTCCGCCGGCGTTGTAGGTGAAAGTAGCAACAAAAATTAAATTTTAATAAGAAAAATGCAGGTGCAGAAGGTGAAAAATCAATAGAAGTGTTTATTTGGATATTTACTCTGTTCCAGAGGGTGTCTTGAACGGCGGTGTCGGCACAACCTGCGATGCAGCTACTGTTGCATCCACAGCTCCAGGAGGCAACGTTAAATTTAATTTATTTTTCGACATATCCTTGATTTTGTCGGGTGGATTAAATAATTAAAAAACAACTGCACTGCAAAAATACCGAAAACTCCTCCTTGGCAATGTTGCAGTAATTGCCAATTTTGTGCCCCTGCTATACAATTAGGGGAATTAAAGAGTAAGACTAACTACATAAATAAGATTAATAATTATTACGATCTCTTAAATTTTCTTAAGAATGTTTAATTAAATAGAAAAACGTTTATTTCATATTTATTCGCACTGCACTGCAAAAATACCGAAAACTCCTCCTTGGCAATGTTGCAGTAATTGCAAATTTTGTTCCCCTGCTATACAACTAGGGGAATTAAAGAGCAAGGCTAACTAAATAGGATTAATAATTATTACGAGCTCTTAAATTTTCATAAGATTGTTTAATAAAAAAAAAAACGTTTATTTAATATTTATGTGTAATTAATGTAAAAAATTTGGAGTTGTGCACGGGTCGAAATAGTTGTGTTAGCATCACTGATTTTTGCTGATTTCATCGACGCCTTGCACTTGTTTTGTTTTTGTAAACGAATTCTGCGGCAAATTTGGGAATAAAAAACAGCTGTTGCACTTGTTTCACATCGCTGTCAAAATTTGCTTATGTTCAGCTTTAACTTGGAAGCACTTGTTGGGAAGATAATAGGGCTCTTCAGGATCTTGTGAATGTGCTTTTGCACAACAGAGAACGTAAATTTATAGAGAAGGTCCAAGTTTCTTACACATTTTAAATTAAAACACGTTTCCTATCGAAAAATAGAATATTAAACTAATCAAACAGTTTTTTATTCTCCAATTCGGCTTTTTTTAGCAGCGAATACATTCAGGAGGTTCGCAAATGCCTGCCGAGGGGCGTCAGATATTAGAAAAAACTTGTTTGTTTTTATCTTTTGATTTTGCTCGGAAATTGGGGTCGAACCCATGCCCCGCAGAATGGTAGCGCGCACTGCCAACCACTACTACATTTGGATTTATTTATTAAATTCTGTTTGTCAGCACTGAAAATCATTCCGATTACCAATTGACGTCTCTAGTGAAATGAAATGGCAATGAAACAAATCGAATCAGAAATAGCACCAAAGAAGAACGGAAAATTTGTTGTCTAAAAAAATCAAAAACAAGAAATCGGTGAAAACGAGCGGACAAGTCGCCTGTGCAGATACGCGTAAAATTATCTATTCCTAAATTCTTAAAAAATTATGAAAACAAAATATTCCATGTGTAATTATTTGCATAAAATGAATAATTGAAAAGGTGATAAAATTTGCTGGTGTGGTTGAGCAGTGCGCGAGTGCAAGTGTACGTAGTCGAATTGGTAGTGGCGAAACGGGTAGTGCTGAAACGTTGGCAGTGTAAATGAAAATATAAATCTCTTTTTGCAAATAAAATTGTGTATTTAGCGCCAATTTTTCTTGATGAAAATTGTGCTTAAATTCGGCTGTAAATTGTTATTTATGTATACGTTTCCAATTTTCACCAATTGGGAGCGGTGCAAGTGAATAGAGAAAAACAAACAAAAAATTTTAAGAGGAAAGGCAGACGCATCGTGGAAGAAGCAGCATCACTGTCGCTGATTTCCTTGCTAATTCCTGTTGGAGAAAAGTTACTTATTGGATATAAAACTTTTAAAGTGCTTATGAGGCAGCGAATAGGAATTTTCCTTTAACTGGTATTGGCGATAAAAGAGATTTGCACCAATTAAAGTGGTAAGTGCGGATACACCTAAATTTTCTCACATATGTATGTATGTTTGTATATGTACGGTGACAAGTGCGCTTCGCATTGCTTGATGTTTTGGTGGTTGACTAGGCTACATATGGAAAAGTGGGTGGGTTAACTTCAAATACATACAGTGAGTATCAAAATTCAGTAGATACATAAATTGTGGATACATATCGAGCCCTAACCGCCAAAATAACGTCAGCGACATGTTTTTCAAAATTTTCTTTTTGTTGCAGAAATATTCCTAGAACATCTAGATGCATTTCTGCATCAAAAAGAAAAAAATGTCGCTTACGTTATTTTGGCGGTTAGGGCTCGATATACCTCGACGTTTTGACGACTTTATATATTTATATTTTACATACCTACCTACAAAAATTTCAGAATTTTCAACTCTTCAATTCGATTTCAAAGTAAAAGTGTTCTTACACGATATGTATTAACATGTGTACATGCCACTTTTTACATATGGAAATGCCAACATATCGTGTAAAGGCACATACGAAATAGAAATGTTTCTATTCTATTCTATCTGAGTTTAGTTTATTTCGTTTACAAAAATCCAATTTTTAAATAGTTAAATAAAGACTGTGAATTTGACAGACATATGCAATTACATATTATTGAAAAAGTCACATTCACAGATGTCACATTCAGACATGTCGTTTAAGAACACAAGCAGCTTTGTTACCCATTAAATTAAAGTACAATAAATTACAAGTTTCCAAGTGGCTAAAAATTGCCATTGATGTTTGAGAATTTGTTTGGCGAAGGTGAAGAATACCCACCGTTTCGCTAGAAAAAAAAAACTAAAAATAGGAATCAACAGAGCTGTGTGCAGATTATAACGGTTCTTAAATTTACT